TCATTGTCTTTGCGCTTAATGGGGAGTCAGGAAATGGCACCAAAAATAGTATGCACTCTGTAAGAAAATTTACCTGTGTATGTTGTAGCTGTGAAGAGGGATTAAGAGGGTTAGACACTGATGGGACACAGGAAAGGAAGAGATCACACTGTTTATTCCACTTCCAAATACACATGTTCTTGGAAGTGCAGTTCTGGACATAGTTCTTGCATTATTTATTAATATTAGATACCAAGTCCTTCTCAGCATATTTATTTTGTTAAATTACACATCTGAAATTAAATACAGCTTCATGTCAGCATTAATGTTCTTCTGTCTGTGCTTATAGCTATTATTGAGAAGAGGTGACTTTCAAGTTAACAGCATGTGGATTGATAAGGCAGCAATTATTCTATCTGAGTACTTTCTGGAAAGCTTAGCTCAAGGGCAAATTGTGTTTCCTTAGGAGTGTGGGATGCTGAATCCCCAGCCTGCAGGTTATCGCCAAAAGGGGTGTTTGTGGCTGTAATGTGCTTGGCTAGCATCTGAGAAAACACCCCAGAACTGTACACTCGTGGACGTTTGAAATCAGTGGCGTTTCTTGGGGGGGTACAGGAGGGTGCCTCCTGGGCTTATTTCTGAGTCACTGGAGGGTTTCTGCTCTTCTCTCCTGCTCTCTGATGCTCTTCTCTTCATTCTCAGGTAGTAGATCCGGTTGGCTTCTGGGTAGGTGACTTTGCAGAGGGGGATTTTGTAGATAGCTGGGTTGTCTGTATTTATCAGCAAAAAGAGCAGTGCGGAGATGCAGAAAGGCCAAGTGCAGGGTGGCAGCCCAAACTGGGAGGGGAAAGGACAGACAAATGTATGTGTTTTGGTACCTCTTTTTGCATGTTCCCTTTGCTTACTTCTGCCTGTTGCTAATTTCTTGCTTTTGAGAAGCTGGGAGAGCCCGTGCTTTCCCTGAGGACAGTGTGACATAGGGCATGTCTTCTTCAATGCCCCCGTACAGGATCCTCCATCTGGATCCAGAGGAGGATGCCCAGATGCAGGAGCCTTCATGGTGGAGGGTACTTGTGAGCTAGGTGCCTGCTGGTCACTGGAGGTCTGGGAAGATCCTCTGCTACCTAGTGTCGATTCAGCTGCTCACATAGAGTTATCTAGTTTATCTGGAATGTACGGGGCTGTGTAAGGCAGCCCACGTTGAAGACCTCAGCCCTTTTGAAGTTGCAGCTGTAGGTGCTGAATGGCACTTGGCACTGATATTGAAGCAAATGAATCAGGCTCCAGACTCTGCTGACTGTAATGAAAGTGAAGACACCCAGCTCACACGTAGACGTTTAAATTCTCTAATACATGAGCCAAATCCTACACTCACTGTCCTGTAAGAAGTCATGTACTGAGAGTACTATTCATACAAATTCACCATCCTCAATGCCCGTGTGTTACTGGCATTGCATCCAATCCTCAGTCCTACTCTGTGACCCCATCTCTTTACCTGACTTGGGGTTTGCAAAAAACAAGATCATAAGAAGAAAAAGTAAACGTTTTTTTTTTCTGATGTGCTTAACAAAGCAACCCATCTGCACGGACCTATATGGTACTGAGTGGATGCCAGAAGAATACATTTAAAGCATGAAGATACTAGTTCTAAATATTTTTCCTTTGAAGTTACTAAATCAATTTTATTAAAATATGGTTTTGCTTTAACCTCTCAGATCTTAAAGAATAAGTAAAGCTGGACATTTCTGGCTTCACCTCTTTCTTGATCTGCCCAGATATGATGCTTTTGTATTTAAAAGAACAGTCTCCCTCTCATTTTAGTTCTCATAACCAGATCAAAATTAAATAATATCTGTGGGAAGGGTGGGAGAAAGACCTTGGAAGAAGCAAGTAAGAATTGAGACCATTGGGAATTGTTCAAAAACATTGCCTGCAATGAGGTATTGCACTTCAAACCATATGCTGTTTCTCGAATTCACACATATGTGTGCAGTCCTACTGTGGATAACATGCTCCAAAGGTCTTTGAAATCCTACTGTCAGCTACTGGAGTCTGCAAGTGCACAATTCAGCTGACACAGAATTTGTCCAAGCCCTGCCACTG